TTACTAGCTGTCTTACAAAAGTCTGCTATATAATGTGATTTGACATGGCTGTCCGTGTAAAAAAAAAAAAAAAAAAAAAAAAAAAAAAAAAAAAAAAAAAAAAAAAAAAAAAATGATACAACTGCTTACTAAAAGTTGAAATTTACAGAAAACACATTGACATTAAAAAAGCAAAAACCTCAATAGTCTACTTTCAACCGCAGATAGATTATTTTGTTAAAGAAATGTTGTGACTTATTGAAGTTGATGTCAGTCGTAACTTCAAAAATACTATGGAGGCCAGACAGAAGACATAAATCCATAGAAAGTATGCAAACCAACTCAATTTCAGCACACCTTAACACTTAGTCCAACGCATTATGAAAGTATGCAGCATGTAGTAGAAACCTACAACACACTTAGTTTTTGTGCACATTATATTGAATTTAAGATATTAAAATAAAATACAAAAATAAAAAAAGAAAAACGGTTTATTACAGAGGTTGGAAACGTACAAGATATAGGCTGATATCTGTTCAGTCATGATGACATCAGCCATCTCTTTTTAATCATCTGATTTAAATCCAGTTTATGCTTACACAAATAATATGAACACACATGTAAATTATTACAGCTGTCATCTAGTCACCACTCTTGGCAGAGTACTAAATTTTGTTTTTACAAAACTGACCAAAAAGATAAAGGATTAGACCCTAAAATACACTGAAATAAATGCCCACTTACCTACACGATGTATGCAAAACACTCAAAAACCAGGAGCTAAGTAAGGTCAGAGAGCTAAATTTTGACTGAAATGTCTAAGAGTTTCAAAAATCTTCAGAAGTCATCAAAGAGCGTGATGACTGTCAGGCATCACCTTACAGCTACTGTCACACAGGTATCATATTATTATGTACCGTATTATTAGCAGCCCAGGACTGGCCCACTGACTACTTGAAATGGCTTGCAGCCGAGTAACGCAGTGTATACTACAGCCTGGAAATACTTCCTACGTAGAGACATCCTGGCCAGAGGCTGCAGTACAGAAGTGACTGAAAAAAAATTGGGAGTATCTGATCACAACACTAAAGCCCGCTCTGGCAACATACTGCTGCTAGAAATACCGTTTCTAGATGCCAACTGCAATCTTCTCAAAGTACGATCACCTGAATAAAGCATTTTAGAGAGCTTTTTTGTGCTGAGATTTAAGGACCTGTAACAAAACGTCCTTAAATACGGCTCTTCTAACCCATTTTCAGTGTGTCCCACAACTGAAACATCCCACCTTTGGGGCCTATCAAGTTGTGTACTATAAGAATATATACATACAAAACACTGCAAACAACATCAGTCTCTCTTTTCTTACATGACTACATAACCTGCAGTTACACCAAATCATCACACACTGTTTTGCCGCTGTTCTAAGACACCTCGGTTCTCCCCAGAATAGAATCATAGAATCATAGAATCATAGAATGTTTTGGGTTGGAAGGGACCACTAGAGGTCATCGAGTCCAACCCCCCTGCAGTCAGCAGGGACACCGCCAACGAAAAGATTGCGGCTCAGTAACTCAGCAAGAAGGCCTTGAATGACTTTGAATTGCTTACGTCTTTCGCTGGATTGATGAAGTTTCTGCAGCCCAGCTGCAGCAAGCTGGCAGTGATAAAGTCTCCATGCACTGCAAACTAAGTATCTGAGTATTTCACGCCTGTTCCTAAGTACGTGAAAGCTGGAGGCAAAGCCTGTCATTTTACAACTCAGTCCTTGCTTCTTTCCTTATGTCCACTAACAAAGGTGCCAGTGTAAGGCCAAATAAGAATAGAACTCCCTGGAGATGCCTGCTGTGAGCCTCGTCATAGCATTTCTTCGAGAAATTTCAAAACAACAGCTTAAGGGCTTTTTAAGTTTTTCCATTAGAAATCAAATTATTTTGAAAGAGTCAATACTTGTAATAAAGACCACAGTACAACAGAGGAATTGAATTACTGAGTTTTCAATCAAACGTACAATACTTGAAGCTCAAAATACTTTCCAAGATTTCACATTTATTGTCTGCGAAGACAAACAAAATTCGAGTTTTCTTTCTTGTCTTATCAAGCAAATACATCTTTATGTTAATTTAATGTGGACTTTATGGCATGTAAATACAACTATAACAGGACAGACAAGTCAGGTTTTTTTTCTTACCATACGCACAATAAATATAAACAAAACCTAAATAGCTAACCTCAGTAAGACTATAATTCTTACTTTATCACCTGTATCTTCTCTTTGTCATATTCCCTTGTGTAATTGTTCCAAACTTCTTTAGAACATTTCAACAGCTATATAGTGCTATCAGAATAACACTACGACACCAGTCGCGAAGCCACGTGTTAATAGACTGAGTTCTCCTGTACTGCCCAGTGTCTCTTCCCACAACTGGAAGGAGCGAGGAGAGGATGACCTGCGCTCCAGATCCCTTCACTAACCGCCCAATAATTCCAAAGTGGAAAAACTTTTCATCACACATCTGTATCGCTCTGTATTTTTCACTAGAGCTTCAGCAACACATCTTTTGAGAAAACAGAAGTGATTGTTGAAAAGATTGCGGCTCAGTAACTCAGCAAGAACTTTAATAATGACTTTGAATTGCTTACGTCTTTCGCTGGATTGATGAAGTTTCTGCAGCCCAGCTGCAGCAAGCTGGCAGTGATAAAGTCTCCATGCACTGCAAACTAAGTATCTGAGTATTTCACGCCTGTTCCTAAGTACGTGAAAGCTGGAGGCAAAGCCTGTCATTTTACAACTCAGTCCTTGCTTCTTTCCTTATGTCCACTAACAAAGGTGCCAGTGTAAGGCCAAATAAGAATAGAACTCCCTGGAGATGCCTGCTGTGAGCCTCGTCATAGCATTTCTTCGAGAAATTTCAAAACAACAGCTTAAGGGCTTTTTAAGTTTTTCCATTAGAAATCAAATTATTTTGAAAGAGTCAATACTTGTAATAAAGACCACAGTACAACAGAGGAATTGAATTACTGAGTTTTCAATCAAACGTACAATACTTGAAGCTCAAAATACTTTCCAAGATTTCACATTTATTGTCTGCGAAGACAAACAAAATTCGAGTTTTCTTTCTTGTCTTATCAAGCAAATACATCTTTATGTTAATTTAATGTGGACTTTATGGCATGTAAATACAACTATAACAGGACAGACAAGTCAGGTTTTTTTTCTTACCATACGCACAATAAATATAAACAAAACCTAAATAGCTAACCTCAGTAAGACTATAATTCTTACTTTATCACCTGTATCTTCTCTTTGTCATATTCCCTTGTGTAATTGTTCCAAACTTCTTTAGAACATTTCAACAGCTATATAGTGCTATCAGAATAACACTATTCTTACGCTACTCATAATATAGAAGTACTTCAGAGTTACACCTGGATGAAGGGAAAAGAATGTAGTGTTCCTTTTCTACCTACATGTCTTGCTATCACCAGGCACCCACTTGTTCCTGGTAATTACTGCATAATAATAACCATAACCATCAAATCACCTGTCTTGCACTACTGAAAACTTCCAGCTCTCTGACGCATGCTTCCTGAACTGCTTCTCCACCAAAACAATAATTGCATTTATACATCCTGTATTTCAGTTACTGACCGTTTCATAATATGCATACAGGTTTCAGAAATTTGTCCTACTAATAGAAGAAATAAAGGAAATCTGAGTCATGACAGGATTCCTGTCTGCCATATCAGAAAATCCAATCCACAGCAACAACAGCATTAATTGTACAAACCTAAGTGATAGGAGAAATTCTGTAGCAATTCTAGATAAGCTTCATGGAAGAAAGAGAGGAGCTTGGCTTTTAACAAAAGCAAAAGAAGGAGGCATTTACAGTCTTAAGTGAGAACTTTTTGTGTGGATAATGTAGAACTTAGAATTTTTGAATGAGGGCTTTGATTAGGAAAAGGACTCGTCCTTGCATACTACTGACAGGGATAGCCAGAAGTTCACCACTGACGTACATAAGGTTCATTATGGATCCCTAAATAAGGACAGATTTAAAACCATACTGAATCATTGGAGACCTACTTCTTACTTGAACAGTTGCAACACTCAGAGCTGTTAAGCAAAACCGAATGCATGTACTATTTGTACATGCACAGAGGATGTGACATCAGATGTTTATTGCTCTACTTTTGATTCAAAGTATTTGATACAAAGATGGAGAGATGCTGCTCCTGAATTACCTCAGTATTTTTTAATATACATTTAAACCTTCAAAATGGCTTGCAAACCAAAAAACACCACCTGTGCCTTCACCGACATTGCATCAGAAATTAATACTGGAATTTGGAAATCTCTATTTTGGAAACACAGGCAAAATTTAGATATAAAGAACAAATATTAAGGTACAGCAAAGCTATCATAACTACCAGACGTACAAGAGTCTTAGGCAGATACTGGCACAGAGTAGTGTACTGCAGCAAAAACTTAGATCCAATCAAAAATCCAATGTGACATTACAAATATCCTATTGCTCTTAAAAGCTGATAAGCTTTGTATGGCTCCTGGAAACATCCCAGAACTCCTCCAGGAAATCCATTACCAAAAAAACCCAATGTATCCTTAAACAGGGTTTTAAGAATCCAAGGGAGGTTCATGATAATTACTTTTATTGTTGAGTGAAAAAAAAGTTACTGTCTTCCCCTTTAATAAACCAGAGATAGAGTAAATAAACATTACAGTTTCCCCATCATTGCGAAAAAATGTTTGCAAGAAACTTCATTTGAGCAAGCCTAAAGTCAAAATTAAATACTTCTTGTAGTAAGACTACATTTTGTAAATAGTGGTGCACAACATAATGAAAGCATGGCTTTCTACCTCAAAGGCACCATTAGACACAGTTACAACTATTAGGAACATCAATAGTGTAATAGAGCCATATTGCATCATGATCATTATTTGTGAAAATAAGACCTGGTACACTTCAGAGCCTGACTTTTATTGCAGGGATAAAACTCCTTACCTTGAAAAGACTGTTTGGCTCTGTCCACTAGTTCTTCAACCGGATAACTTGCTAGATCTCCTCTGGCATGCTTAGTTTTGCAGTAGGTGCATGCATTGAGACACCTGTTTAGAAAAGGAAAATACTCAGTTTCTAGCCAATAAAGCCTTTATAGGCACAGCTATATTTATTAAGTACATCTGGAAAAATGAGCTTTTATATATCTACAACCAGAAGATAGTAGTACTCTGTTTTAAAATCAATAAAGTAGTTTAAAAAGTGTTTTGTTCCCCTGCCTTCTGAAAGTATCTTTCACATCTATACAAAAGGTTGAAAAAACAATCAGTGGAAACCACATACAAAGTCTAAGAGTGGGAATTTACATATTTAAAGTTAATAATTTTTCATTACTAAAGATGAATCTCCAGGCTTCCAATCCTGCCATTACATAAAAAAATCCAACCTGAACACGGAAATAAAGGAAAAGAGTCCTGAAAGACTATAAGTAGATTTTAAAAATAGTGTGCATTCTTGAAAACACATTTAAGCTAATTCTTCCTTCTTTCATTTGGCTTGTATAAACAAAACAAATAACGAAGACAGGATCACCAACTAGAAAAACAGCTTGGCACAAAAGACTGGGGAACTAATGAAAAACTCCCATAAGAAACTGAAGGAACAATGTGAATGCTTTTATTTTATTTGACAATGTAGTAAAGGCAGACAAATTCAAAGTAAAAGGATGGAAAGATCAAAACAAACAAAAACTACCACTAGCTGCATGTTTTTTTTGGATTAGCCTTTGGATCCTGGTAGTGCCACGAATGTAATAAGCAGAACCTTAAAAAGAGTTTGTTGAACTTATTTTCCCCTTCACCCCCACAAGCACAAAAAACCCAATTACAAATATTTTTCTTGTTCGATGGTTACTAGGACATCTTGAATTCTGTCCATTTGCACAACTAAAAAGCCACAGCTTCAATATAATAAAACATTTTGGGTGCTGGGAAAGGCTAACGCTCGAACTACAAGAGTATTACTATAGAACACTCAAAACAAGAATGAAAGAGGCAAAGATAGCACCAGGTGGTTTCTGAAGAAGTCACCAGCTACGAGACTGTGTTTACTACTTCTATTACCATGTCTGACAGTTCCATGACTAGGTAATTACTGCTTTGCAAACTCTAAAGGTTTTCCTTCACAGAGATTCCCCTCACACGTTACTTACCCCTTGTTTGCACAAGCAGTGGATCAGGAAGTGCAGAAGATGGCACAGAACGTTTTTTCAGGTGCCCCCCCTGCCCCTGCACACCGCTTTGGCCCCAAGGCCTTCTCCACCAACCAAATCTTGCTTTCTGCCAGAGGACATCTAGATAGTTCAGGGTTCTCTCTGCTAGACTGGATGTTGTAAATTGTGTGTTGTCTTTTGTGTATTATTTTTCCTGCCTATCAGACCCAAACATCAGCTTTTTGCATCCATTTTAGATAAGAAAACTAGAAGATACTGCTTAACCGCAATGAGACTGTTCTATTAAGAACTAAAAACGTACATGAAATAAGCTGCCAAACAGTAAAATATACAATCGTCCATTAATAAAGTAGAGAAAGAAGACCTAAATCTGAACCTTTACAACCTGCTCCAAATAAGTGATTCATCAGGTGTGAAATAATTTTTAGGTATCTCACCTTTCTGTGCAAATCAAAAGCCTTTCATTGTGCAAGGCCTGAAGCATGTTTAAAAGAGAAGTATTTAAAATCAAGAGAGTATAAGCAGATAACTGGTTTATACCTTCTCTGTGTAACCTATTTAGCTAACTGAAATGTTTCCTACTAGGCCACTGGCTGTCTGAAGTTTGCCACGAAGGGCTTTCCCTCACAGCCCAGGGGTACTCGTTCCTCTCCCTGCTTCCCTTCTGTGACTCTTTCAAACTCCTTCAGTTCTTCCAGGGTTGCAAAGCACGTCTCCCTCTTTTTTTTTTCCTCTCTAATTTTTTTTTTTCTTTTCTTTTCTTTCTTAGTTTGGTTCATTTTGTGTGTTTTTAAAGCACAGCTCTCCACTCAACCCGACGCTTCATTTTTAAGCAGGCTCCCATCCAGTCAGCCCCCCGTCCCACTCCTTCCCCTCTGCCTCGTGTCCTAAGGTGAGCCAGCTTTCTTCCACACAGCTAGGCAAAAGCAGCACCATGGATCGGGGATGCATATCGTCACATCCTGAAGAGCAATTCCAAAACTTGCCTTCGGTAGCCTGGTGTGGTGCGTTGGCGAGGGCTAACAGCCAGGCTGCCCGCTGCCTCAGCGGGCCAGAAGAGCAAAGGGGCAGAAGGGGAAGAAGGGAGCTCTGGGGCCTAGACAGGGACGGGCAGAACACATGACAACTACTGACAGACTCAAATCAGGGAAAAGTTACACATCCCCAGCCAAAATAAAAACTTAATAACAGATTCAGGTAGTAGGAAATAGAGACAAACATTGAACCACAGCCTTTCCTCCCCCTTTTCTCAGAACTTTGCTCCTTCATGGGCCTTCTATGTGCATCCAGTGCCCGGCACGGGGCAGCCCTGGCCTCTCCTCTCCAGGCCCCTGCACAGGTGCCCCGTGCACGGGTCTGCAAAGCGCTAAAATAAAATGCTGGGATGGCAAAATACCACAGGCAACCTCCTACACCTTTATGAGGGCACCTCACAGGCAATACGGTCAAAGCCCACGTTACGGTTATCAGCCAGCTCCTAACACCACCCATGCAAGATGCTGGCCACGGCCCCGCAGCAGCAGCCAAGGGAGCCGGCAGGAGCATTAGAAATCAGCCTCCCTCACAGCTCTTCCAGAGGTGCCGATGGAAATCCTCCAGCATTTAGATAGCCACGCTCATGAGAAGACGGTAAGGAGAGGAATAAAGAGAGTAAAGAAAAGTAATTACTCATCATAAACAGGTAGACCCACAGATTTTGGTTTGGTTCCTTTGGGGGGAGGGGTTGGATTTTATTTGTTTGGGTTTTTTTAGTTCTGAAGGTTTGGGGTTTTCTTTTTTTTAATTTTACTTTTACTTCAGGGAAACTTAAAATCAGTTTCATAGCAGACACGCCTGCTCTTTTTCAACCAACACACAAAGATGTGGTTTGCATTGATGATATTTGTACTGACCTCTGTTTTCTCCAAAGAAAATACACTACCAGCTATTTTGCCAATTTTCTCAGGTCACCAAGAAGAGATTTAACTTGTAACGATCCTGCTCCATGACCCCAAGGTTACTTTAACATCGGCCCTTTTACCCTGGAAAGACAATTTTGTCAGCTGTCACTAACGAAGGGATGCATCGAGTTTTTTATTTCTTGGGATGAAGTAAATTTATTAAACTCAAACTAAGACTAGGATTTGGGGAGAAAAAAACCCCACCACCAACTTTTATTATTTACTTTAATTTGCAAAGTCTGGCTTACTACAAATTTGGTGTAAAAGTTTGAGTATCAATAAAAAGTTTATTACCAATTTTTTTTTTTCTCTTGAACCATAACCTTGCATGAAAACAATTCTTTTTGTAGATACTTCTTCATAAGCTTCATAAATGCCATAATTTTACTAAGTTATTTAAAGCGAGCTTCTAAATTTATTCCTGTGTAATAGATCTAAACATAGAGCTAAAACCTAAACTAGTATGAATGTACAGTAAAAAGGATTATTTATGCTATTTACATAGAATTTTTGTTTCCTTAACATAGAAGTCCATGTATAGCGTATTTATAGAAAGTAGCCCGTTACCGTCTTCCTCTCTTCTCCTTATATTTTATGCATAAATCATATATTTCTCACTATGTATTTTGCTCTGTATTTGAGTAGTAGTATTTGAAAAGCTCTACAGCAAGAGTACTAAATAGAAGAGTACTAAGTACTAAGCAGCAGTAGTAAATACTGACATTATTAGTCTCCAAACCTTGAGGATAACTTTCATACCTTCAATTAATGTTCCTTTCCTAGCAAGGTCTAGTTTATAGTAAACTAGTTTCTCCTGCATCTTCAGAGTTGTTTTTTGGGCAAATATTCTTTAGAGTAAGTCCTGGGCTCCCTGAAAAAATATGCTATCAGCAGTTTTCCTCTGATACTGCAATAAACTTGGTCACAAAGAGAGAATGGAAACATGCAGCAAGAAGCGGGAAGAAAAAAGGGGACGTTACTCTCCAAATATTCATAGTATTATGTGGGGTTGTTTCCAGAGCTTTATTACTATGATCTTTAAGTACAACTTCAGGGGTTGGTTGATTTATTTTGGGGTAGGAGATGAATGTTGGGATTTGGAGGCAGACTTTTTTCCAAGTTCTGCCACACCAATTAACTTATTACTACTATAAAATTAAAATCTTGTGGAATGCCTAAATAATTTATTTTGGGGTTTTTGGGGGGGGGCGGGGGGGGGAGGACACTTAAAGAGACTATATAACAAAACCAAACAGACTTCAATGTAACATAGAAAAGGATAATTTTTAGAAAGCAAAACAAAAAAGACAAAACTTTTAAATCCTATTTGTACCACATCCGTTAATTCCAACTTGGGAAACAAAAAATCTTTTGGGCTACAGCTGACCAACAAAAGGATGCGGATTTCAAATGCTTGTAAAAATGCTGAACTAAATACTTTTCTCATATTTGTGAATTATCTGTTCTTGAAAATATAAATTTAAAGCATACCATAAGCATAATAAATTATCTGTAGGGTTTTTTTCCCCTGGTAAGCCAGCCTCTACTCCAAGTTTCCAGCAGAACAAATTATTCATACGTCCGTGCTGCCACATACCCAGACCACAGAAAATCAAGTGGAAAAAGGCTGCTGGGAACTCTGAGAATCTCAGCAATGCCTCTTACCGAGTGGCATTCACCAGCAAGTAGATTATCTAAAAACAGCCCAATAGGTAAAGCTCTGTTTAAAAATCAGCCTTTATCAGAGCTAAAGCTCAACTATATGGGACTAAAAAGCCAATATGCTAGCAGTTGAAAAAAGAGCATTTTGCTTTATGTTAAACTGGAAGCCATCTTCAAGCATTTAAAATTGGTTTATAACTGTTAGCTTGTAATAATACAGGTCAAAGCTGTTTTGCACAGAGGAGTTACTGGCATTTATAGAAACACTTATTAA